GTGTTGTGTTGGAAATGGATTCTTCCTAGAAGCCCTGTGCTCTTTGCCCTCAGGGATTAAATGAGAGGATTTCCCATGAATGGCAAGGTAGTATTTTTTCTTGGCTGACGAGGTTTCCTTGGGGAAATACTCAGCCCTTAGGGATCGATGTGAGATGTTGATCAGCACTAGACTGCATCCATTCACTTGATTTTCTCCCCTTAGAAGGACCACTGTTCTCCACATTGTTTTGGCTTCTGTGATTGTAAATGTTTACTCTTCACATTTTAGGAACGTTCCCTCCTCAGGAGACTCTCAAAGTTTCAGATTCCAGGCTGGCATTTCCACAGCTAAGAAACCTCCTTCAGGGACTGGGCTGCCTGATTGCCAAGAGCTTTGTGGGTGATGGATGTGAGAACAGCAGATCGAAGGCCCAGCACAATTGAAGCAGCCCCCTATGCTCCCAGGTTACTGCTCAAGTAATGCTGCTGTTAAGACACAAGGCAGACTCTTTCAAATGTTTTTTTTCTTTTTTTTTTCCCCTCTTGCTTACATGTCAACTGTTATTTTTTTCTCTCATGTTCACTTATGTCTTACTACTATGCCACAAAGAGCCTGCAAGCTGATTTTTTTCATTTATATCTCCAGCTATGACTAGATTCTTTTCCCAGAGCAAACCTTTGTAACTGTACTTTGTGCAGTGGCTAAAGTGACAGTGAAAAGGGGAATGATGAGGTGATCAGTTAAGAAAAGAAATAAATCTAGTGCCAGCAAATCTGGAGTATTTACATTCTCTGGGCTCTTGTGTATGAGACCTTCAGAGCAAGAGGAAGTGACCAGATGTGATTTGAAGGAAATATATTGTTTCTGTAGATGGATTGATGTTAATTCTCTGATCTTAAACTAAATGAAGTATCAATCATTTACTGTAAAACTGTTGATCACAGTGGTAATTTTGTTGCTTGAGTGATTTATACTAGTAAAACACATCAACTAGCAGCCTAATGAAAGCATGTTAGAAAGCACTTGTTCATAAAGCACAGATGGTCATAGTGTTCTCTTATTGCTCATTTCAAGAGTAACTAAAACGAGGGACCTGTGGGTGGTGCCTGTGAGCATGCACAGGCCCTACAGAATTGTTCCTGCTGCAAAGGGTGAACAAGCTACACCTGGAACAACACCGTTGTTCAAAGTGTCCCACAGCTGAGAAGTGAGTTTGCTGGGACTGAAGGCATTTAGCAATTTTAGTGGAACCTCCTTGCCAAGCTGACTACAAAACAAAAAAGGGTTTAAAACAAAATGATCAAAGGAAAATTATTATGAGTGATGCTTCCTTGAATATGAAGGTATTTATTTTTAAAATATAAGCATAAAATAATGTCTCAGTAACAGCTATATACATTTAAATAGGAAAAATGTAGATACAAATTCCATAGATAAGATTTCCAACTGTATCACCAGGCTGAATTCATTATGCCTGACAATGGCCCCAGGAGGTAGGCAAGTATTGTTGTACCAATGCTTTGCATTTCTCTTGGAGGCAGTGGAGGTACTTGCACTAAAATTAACTGTACACAACTGCAAGTGTCCACAGGGTTAGCCCCAGAGCAAAGATATTTATGGAGGTAAGTGTCACCAAGAAATGGGAATTAGTTTTACAGACCCTCCAAGAGCTGAAGCACATGGCATTGGGTAAGTGTAATGATCTGCCTAGGAAAATTGCTCTGCATTCTGAACCCTGTCCCTTTCCACTGCTGCAGAACAAGCATGGTTCTGGTTGTCCTCAATGGAAAGGGGCAGGGATCAGAAATGTGATTTCCCCAGTACCTGGGCTCTTGCGTTCCTTGCAATCATCACTTCTAATGTGCATTTAAAACACATTTGACAGTAAAGCATTAGACACTGGTCATAGGAGGAGCCTAAGAAACATTTGCTGCTGGACCCTTTTCTGCTTTAAGCAGTCTTGCTCTGAATAAAGTATGAATGCTTTATGTGGGTGAGTATTCTGATGATGCAGTCCATGAGACTGAAAATAATTCAGCTGTACATTGTTTGTCTTTGTAGTAGCTCCTAGATGGGGTTTGCCATCCCAGGGAGCAGGCCAGCCACAGGGAGGGCAGAAATCCCCCTTCCCTCCTCCTGCAGGTGGCCTGGGCTGGTTGTAGCTGAGATTCAGCGAGGATTACCTTATCTCAGTGAGCAAGACTCACACCTTGGTCTCTCTCCACTTGTGGGTTTTACTGCCTGAAGACCAGGGGAGGTACAAAGAGGGCTGTGTGTTCCCCCATGTACTTTTCAAAAGGAAAGGAGGAAACAGGAGAACACATGGGAAAGTGGGGAAAGGGAAGAGAAAGAATAAAATACTTTCTGACCAGTGCAGAGAAGCTGACTGATTTTGAAATGGCATTGCATGAGCAATTAGAGTGTTGAGTACAAACTGAGGACTGACCCATGTGCTTTGTGTGCTTTCAAAATGTCTCTGGCTGTAATGATAGAGGAGGCTTTTTAAAGCAAGTCTGCTGTCCCCCCTTTTGCAACCCACTTTTCTGTAACATTAGTCCGCTCCTGACCCCGAGCTGCTGCCTGGGCTCTTAACCAGGCTGGGAGTGGGGGGGAGAGGAAAGGAGGAGTGGAGGCAAAATATGCATAAAGATACGGGGATAAGTTCAGTTTGTTTTCCTCTGAAAGCTTTGACACTTGCTTAGAGGAGATTCATTTTCAAGGCTTCCTACATTCCTGCTATTGTACAGTAAGTGTTTCAGACCGGTGTGCCTGTGTTTCCGACTCCCGTGAAGTCCCCTTTGCAGCAGGGCGTGCCTCGAACCGCTTCAAAAGAACCAACTTCTACAAAAGAAAAAAAGAAACTCAAGTAGGCTTGAACATACAAAGAGAGGGAGAAAGGAAAGTGAAAAGGGCCGGGCAGTGTTGAATACAAAATGAGTTCAGCCAGCCCCAGGAGTTCTTCATCACTTACATTTATCTTATTCTGGGAGAGCAGAGCTAAACCCAGTGCTGACATAAACCACCCTTTGCCTTTGACTCTGAGAGTGTGCACACACAGCAGATACAGAGAGCACTGGATTTCAATGGAACATTTTTTCCCCCTCTGAGCAGTGGTGTTGGTGGGGAAAATGGCTTTTTGTGTGTGTCCTTTCAAAGGCAAACTGTGGAGTGAGTCTCAGATGCCTCCAGTTTCAAAGTGTGCATGCGCTCACAAAACATGCACTTGAAAAATAAGCAGCTGTTACTGTTTCCCAGCCAGGAACTTCTCCCATCCCAGGAGCACGCTGAGGTGCTCGGCTGATGTCCCCAGTGCTCCATACGGTCACTGAGGTACTGCTAAGGGAAGTCCCCAGCACCTGACAGCAGCCCTGGGGTGTCCAGAGGCCGGGGTCTGATGCAAGGGGGCATCAGCCACCTTGCATCCTCATGAGAAGCTAATGGGATGCTGCTTCCCTCTGTGCCCAGAGGCCAGTGGATGGTTTGTGGGATGGAGGATTTGGCTTGCTGTCAAGAAGGCCCGACAGCCACACAGCCCACCAGCCTGGAGGGAGATGTTCAGCACTTCAACACAGCACCAGCCTGGCTCCCCCCATGCTGGGAGCTTGCTAGGCTGTCAGTGGCTACTGCTCAGCAAAGCTCCCACTCATTTCCAAGGTTTGGTTCGCAGTTCTTGCATGGAACAGCTCACAGCCGCGGCACCCGGTGCCCAAACAGGAAACACACAGGATTAACCCTGGGGAGGAGAGCACAGCAGGGCTGCTGGCGATGCACACCTGTGCCACGGGCACCCAGGAAAGGAGCACGTGCTGCCTGCGGACTGAAAGAGAAGCCGGGGGGCTGGGAATTTAGCCAGCAAACGGCACCATGCAGCACAGCACTGAGGGCTTTTTCCCCTGTTAACGACAGAAGCATTTATTGAAGGGAGGGAGGGTTAGACAATAGGAGAGTATGAAAGTTTTTACTCGATACAGATAGATGGTCTGGCAACTTTATGGATACTATACAGAAACAAGGTATTACTTCTGCTCCTTACCACCATCCTTCTTACAGAGTAAACACTTCCATTTTGGTCAGAAACTGACAACTTGTTTTGGAGGGGATAAAACAGCTTTTGCCTTTGAAGCATAATAGCTAGAAAAAAAAAAAAAAAGAAAAAAAAAAAAAAGGAATAGAGAGAAGGTTTGCCTCCGTTTGTTTGTAAAGAAAGCAAACCATCAGCTTTCCGCTTTCTCAGTACCATCCAGTTGTTTGTGGAAGGTGGGCCCCAGGCGCCTGCCATGCGCCAAGTGTGCCCAGCCAGCTTCCTAAACCAGCAGCGAGGCTGCTCATTCCATGTCACTGCCGCTCGGCTTTGAGCTGCTGGGCTCCCTCGCTCCCTCCTTGGCTTGCGAGTTATTCACTTTTGAAAAAACATATCTACCTCATACTGTGCCCATCACTTTGTTCTCCACACGCCTATTCACACGGGCAAACCTCCACTTCTCCTCTCCAGGCAGGCGGCGGTGGCGGGAGGGGAGGCAGCGCGGAAGGGAAGTTAAGATGCGTGCACGGAGCTATTTCCCTCTCCACCACCTTTGGCCAGCTATTGTTGGCCCAACAAAAGGACTCGCTCGCGGGGGATCGGGACCCTGCCGAAAACGTGGCAGCTCCGGGGGCAATGTGCTGTCCCGGCTGCAAACGCCACCGCTTCTCACCTACCGGGTCCCGCGTGGGCTTCCCGCGTGTCCCCGGGATTACCGCTCTAAAACCGAGGGCATTCCCTCGGCGGCTTCGCGGCCGAACCTCCGCACGGCAGCGCCGCGCTCCCTGCACCGCCGTCCGCACCGTCCCGAGCGGGCAGCGCTCCGCACCGACACCTCGGGCACGGTCGCTGCGGCCGCAGCGAGAGCCGGGCGGACCGACGGCTACTCCCGCCAGGCGTGGGGAAGCAAAGGCGGGTATTTACCGGAGCCTCCTAGGTTTGGTTATAAGGAAAAGGATGTTCCCCCAGGCGGGCGCGACGGAGCGTCCTCATAGACATGCAGCGGCGGGGAGAGCCCGGTGCCGCGGGCTGTAGGTTCGCTCTGTCGGCGGAGCGCCCGGCGCGGGGCGGACGCGCCGTCGGGGCGCGCCCCGGCACCCCCACCCCGTTCCGCGGGCTGCGGGCGCAGGTGAGCGGCGTGCAGAAGCAGCGGCGGCTGGCGGCCAACGCGCGGGAGCGGCGGCGGATGCACGGGCTGAACCACGCCTTCGACCAGCTGCGCAATGTCATCCCCTCCTTCAACAACGACAAGAAGCTCTCCAAGTACGAGACGCTGCAGATGGCGCAGATCTACATCAGCGCCCTGGCCGAGCTGCTGCACGGCCCCGCCGCTCCTTCCGACGGCTCCGGCAAGGCCGAGCACCGCGGGGCCCCCTTCGAGCCGCCCTGCGCCGCCGCCGGGGCCGGAGCTCCGCCGGGGCCGCCGGCGCCGCCGCCGGGGCCGCCCAGAGCGTCTCCCCCCGGGCACGGCCGGACTCGCTTCCCCCCGCCGCCGGCCGCGGGGGGCTACTCGGTGCAGCTCGACCCGCTGCACTTCTCCTTTGCGGAGGGCGCCCTGATGGGACAGAGAGCCCCTTCCCCCGCCCTCCTCCTGCCGCAGCCCGGGCAGCCGCCGCAGGAGAGGAGCAAGACGTCGCCCCGGTCCCACAGGAGCGACGGGGAGTTCTCGCCCCGCTCCCACTACAGCGATTCGGATGAGGCCAGCTAAGGCAGGGGCGTCGTCCCCGGCAGCCCCGCAAGGCCGCCCCTCGAAGCACAGACTCCGCCGTGGGGTGAGCAGCCGGACGCGGTGCCGCCACGGACGGCATCGGCTCCCCCCGGTCGCTTTGAAATCCGCCCCCTCGTCTCCCACCCCCGGCAGCCCCTGGTTTGTCCAGGGGGGATGGCTGTTAGCGAGTGACTGTACCCGCCCTGTCTGTCAGGGTCGGTTGGTTTGTTTTAACTCTTAGTTTACACTTCGAAAGTTTCTTTCGCCTAGAAGTCGTTGCCGTTCCCTCCTGCCAACACGCCACCTCGCAGCGCGGAGCCTGGCTCGCCCCGTCGGCGAGCGGGGGATGCGCAGGGAGAAAGCCTGGCCCCGCTGCCGGGGGCGCCGCCGGCGCCATCCATCCCCACCCAGCCGTGAACACGCCCTGACACCCCCGTCTTCCAGGACACCGATCCTGCCGTGGGTCGCATTGCTGTGGAAACACACACATACACACACACAAAGTCAATAGCGCACCGTCTTAACCTGTAAATAGCGGAGAAAATTTGGATTTTCCTTAGAGCACCATGTCGGCGTCTTTTGGGGGGAAACTTGGCGCAAGCACTTTATCAGCGGCTGGAGATGCAGTTTCAAGAGGAAAGCTACTAACTGCCAATTGGAGACCAATGTTTAATTAAGCCACTTAATCCTAACGCTCTCTTAAAAACGAAAACTGTTTTGTCGTGTCAAACTTTTATGTCAGTTTTATTCTCCTTTTGTGGTAATAGGAAACGTATTTATTATGCAGTGTTTGCAATTATTTCTGCTTTTCTCTTTTTTAAAAAAAAATTTCTTTTCTACGACGAAAATCGTTTATTTTGATTTTAGCAACGCCAGCTGCCATTGTTTTATGTATTTTAATTTTGAAATTTTTTTGAGATCAAATAAACGTGGGAAAAACAAACAAAAAAAAACACCAAAACAAAATCAGCCTCGAATCGTGGTCGGGTTCAACTTCTCCCTTCGCCCTCCCTGTGCCGGGGTGGTGGTGTCAAACTCGGCGGCGGGGGTGAGAGGTGCAGGGCCGGGGGGCGATGCTGCGGGGAGACGATGGGGCGCTCCGGCTGCCTGCAGAGGGACGGGCGGACCCCCGGGCCGGTGTCCGGGGCGGGCTGTGCCCCGCCTAGAGCAGCGCTACCTCCGCTCCCTGCGCCGCCGGGACCCTGTCCCGTCCCCGTCCCGCAGTTCCCAGCGGAACCGGGTAATTGCAACAAGTGCAGGGTAAGGAGCTTGTCGCTGTTCTGTGGCGCCTGTCCCCGCACCGCCGCTCAAGTCACATCGTTCCCTTCTTCCCCACTCCTCCTCTTCTCGGAGACGCGAGCGGATCTTCCCACGGAGCCCTCTCGGTATAAGCCGAGCGGAAAGGGCTGGGAGCGGGCGGAGAAGCCAGCGGGATTTAGGGGACACGCGAGCGGGTCGCCGGGGATCAGGATGTGGCCCCTGGGCTCGGGTTGAACCCGGACGGGAGTGGGGGATTGGCTGATGCTTAGCCAGCCTGCCCGTGACACCGGACCCGGGGCTAAACCGGAGCCGTGTCGGTGCCGGGGTCCCGCTGGGTTCAGCAGGTGACCCTGGCAGGGGGTGTCGGAGGGGTGATCACTTCACCGGGCGCGGCCAGGGGAGCGGCCCCCGCGGGTGTCGCTTTCCCTGCAGAAACAGGGCACCTGTCCCCCCGGTAACCCCGCGCTGTGGCCCTGCCCTGCTCGCCGCCAGCACACGGCCGCCGCCCGTACCTGCCGAAGCGGGCTACGGTCCCGCAGGGCAGAAAGTTTATCGGGAGGGTCATTTGCCTTCCTAATAAAATGCCTGCTTTGTCGGGGTAGGTCAGCTTTGGTTACCGGCACTGATTTCTGTGCTGTTGGAAGCCGGTCTCGCGCCTTGGGGTCCCATCATGGGAGAGATGCGGCGGAGCAAAAAAACACCAACTTTGAGGGCGTTGTTCTATTTATTTGGTTTAATTTGGGGAGGTACTCTGCGCGGGGGAAGCGGCGGCCGCCGCCGTGACTGAGGGGCAGCACCCGCGGAGGGGTCCCGGCCGTGCCGGCCGTGGGTGCAAGGGCTGCGTGCGGCCTCTCTCCGCCCCGCCGTCCCTGTCCTGCCTCTGCGGCTGCGAACACTCGGGGTGGTGGAAAAGAGCGCATCAAAATCCTCCCTGCTCCCTCGGTCGGGTCCCTTCCCCCGACAGACCAGCGCACTGCATGGCGCGGCTGGTGCTCGCAGCCGCAGCGCAGCAGCACTCGCCGTCTGAGGGCTTTTGCTTTTTTTTTTTTTTTTTTTTTTTTTTACGCTTCTTTGAAAGAGATACCCAGCCGCATTCCCATTTTAAGGTTCAGCTATAGAGTTTGCATAACAACCGCTTGGCAGCCCCCCTCTCTTGCACTCCGTTAACAAGCTGTAACGTATAGCTGCAGGTTGCTATAATCTCATTAATATTTTGGAAACTTGAATATTGAGTATTTCAGACCGCTCATTCTCCATATGCCAGGCCACTCCCGCTATGCTGGCTGGTTCCTTTCTCTCCATTATTAGCAATTAGCTCCTACCTTCCAAAGTCAGATCCAAGTATCCAAGATACTAGCAAAGGAATCAACTATGTGTTGCAAGCTAAGCATGCTTAATATCTCCCAAACAAACAAAGAGACAACATTTCTTTAAGTAATGAAGATGGATAAATCGCTTTATTGAGCCTGCGACAGTGTTTGTTTTGTATAGACTACCGCAAAGTTTTTTAACAAGAGCGGGGACGCGCACCAGCCCCTGGAAGCAGTCTCGCCCGGTTTGCTTCGTGGGGTTTTATCATCCTAAACGGGCTTTTATTTGAAAAGGGCGAGTCAGAAGCGCACTATCCGAGCGTTAAATTTTGGCTGAACGCTGACTGTCCTCCGGGGTGTGCGAAAAGAGAGCGGGGGCTGGGGGGGCTTGGGGAGGCAGTCGCCTTTGTGCGAGGCGCACGGCGGCTCCGCTGGCTTTTGAGCCCGGATCAAAGCCGGATGCAGCGCGGCCGCGAACTCCGGTGCGGGGCTCTGCCCGGCCGTCCCGGGGATTGCGGGGGCACGGAGCGGGGCACGGAGCGGCGGCTGAGGCGCATCTCTGCCCTGCAGCTCTCCGGCTGCTGTTTGCTCAACCTCTGGCCTCGGAGAGGGAGGAGGAAAGGAAGAGGGAGAAAGGGTTAAACCCAGCGAGGGGAGACCAGAAAAGCACGGGGACCACGGCGGAGGGGGGGTTAGAAGGGGAGTTGGCCGTGGGGCCAGTGTTTCTTAATTAGAGCGGGGCGGACAATGCTTTGGGGCGGACAATGGGGGGGACAGGGGGGCTGGAGGGCGGAGGGGGGGTCTGGCCTCGCTCCCGGCCGCGGTGCGCCGTGTCTGGAGCGGAGCACGCGTTGTCAGCTGGTGAGCGCAGCGGCCTTTCAGGCGGCTCCCCAGGGAGCTGCGCGCCCGCGGTGAGCTCCATCGTCACCCCCTCCCCTCCATCATCATCATCATCGGCCTCCTCCTCCTCGGCGGCCCCCCACCCCAGCCGAGCACAACAGCCAGCATTCAAGCCCCCTTCCCTCCCTCCCCTCGCACAACAGCAGCGCAGTGGCAGCCACGCCACCTCCCAGCAACCAGCAGCACGCGAGGGCACCGCCGGGGCACCTGAAAGAGTCAAAGCTAAAGAAAGGGAGACAAAGGAGGAGAAAAAGATACGCAGGAACGGCCCAGCGTGTCTGCTCCGACAGTGCGGAGGGACAGGGGCCCACAGAGGGATGGGCGAGCCCACGCGGAGGCCGGCACGCACACGCGTGGCACTCGCTCGCAGGGGTCCGAGCCGCTGCAGCACCGACGGAGACACGCAGAAATCCCCCGCTGCTGGCCACAGGGCACAGGGAAGCGCCCCGGCAGCTTTGCGCCCACAGCCCCGTCCCCGCGAGGGGCACCTCCCGGCTTGGGTATCTCTGTGTGCCCGACTCCCCTGGCCCCACCTCTGACACTGCCACCCAAGGGCACCGGTGCCGGGACGCGGCAGGAGCCGACCTTGTGTCTGGTCACCCGCATGTGCCCGTGACGTGCCCGTCCGGGGGAGAAAAATGGGGGGAAAGTGGCGAGGGATCGGCTTGTGCGTGGGCGAGGCAGGGACCCTGCCGGCCCCGCATGGGAGCATCCTCCCCTCGGGCAAGCCAGGCTGGAGCACCGAGGAGCTCCGGGCGTACCCTGGGGGACAAGGGGTCGAGTTTTCCGCCCCTGGCCAAGTCATAGCAGCGCGGAAGGAGCTTTGCTCGGGGCTGTGTGTCCGCCGGGGTCGGCGCTGGGGCGCACGGCCGGCTGCCCTCCCGGAGCTGGGCTGGGGCCTCGGAAAGCCACATGCTGCCCTGCCGCCACCCTGTGTGAACTCCAGGCGGACTGTCTCTGGGGAGTCCCCGGGAGGGAATGGGAGCGCGCCTCTGCGGGCTGCGCTCCCCCGTGCCATGGGTGCGCTGCCACTGCCGCCGCTGGCTATCTCCAGGCTGCCCAGAGCGGGGCAGACAGAAAGGCTCTTCTGAAGTGCTATCGAATGGCTCGGGATGCCTTCGGGAGCCCAGCCAAGGCGTGTCAAAGGCGGTTTGAGCGGTGAAGCATTTAAACGCTTCAATGGGTGACTTTCTGGCGTGTGCTTTTCTCCCTCCCTGCTTAGGCCCGGGAGGAGGGAGCAGGCCTTTTTACTGAGCTCCTCCGGGGGTGGATGTGACACCCCCAGCCCCCAGCCCGGTGCCGCAGCCGGGCTCTTCTCTTTCGGCGGAGCGGCCGCCTCTGCCCCGTCGGGCAGCGGGAAGAGCTCGGGTCTTCTGCCGCTCCCCGCAACTTTTCTCTCCCATCTCGGTTTAAGCTGCTCGGGGTGGGCAAGTGCCGGCCCGTCGCACCCGCTGCAGCACGGAGTGCAGATGGGACTTGAGACGGGAGCTTGTGCAGCGCGGGGATGGGCTTTCAACAGGGCTGACAGGA